GTGTTTCATCTGGTCCAGCGGCTTTTCCAGCTTTCAGTAGCTTCATTGCACTCAAGACTTCAGCTTTCGTTGGAGGATTGGTGTGAACTTGCAGTTGTGTGTGCGCTGTTATTGGTATTTCTGGACGGGTTGCAGGTGATGGTCGGTTCAAGAGTCCTTTGGTATTTGAGGTTAATATATATATATATATATATATATATATATATATATAAATGTATATTCAGTATTATTATTTCCCTAGGTTCCTAGTGGAAAACGGGACTTTAACACCATGTCTCCACTTTGTTCAGTCCACTGCATTCCTATTCAACTAATTCCACGATTCCATATTAGTTTGATTATTAAATGTATCACACAGTGAAACAGTATTGTATACTAGATGACGTTTCGAACACAATTTATTGTTCATAATCATATCAAAAAAAAATTGATATGATTATGAACAATAAATTGTGTTCGAAACGTCATCCAGTATACAACACTGTTTCACTGTGTGATACATTTAATAATCAAACTAATAGGGAATTACTTAATACCACAGTGCCCAAGTTTTACACATATAATTCCACGATTGCCCATAGGATCTGATTCTGTCCTAAGATGATCCCTTCCACGTCATCCCGGACTCCTAATTAGTCGTTTCCCATTCAGGTTACAAAGCAGGGTTCGCCTAGTGGTTGATGTCAACAGATCGTCTCCCCAGCATGTGTCCGATCTGTCTCCATATTCTCATAAATAATTCTTGAGCAGTGGGTTCTTTATCAGTTCGGTCCCAGAGTTTCTTGTTGATAAGGCTCTCTAGCTAGCCGTGAGATCTTCCATATTGTGTGAAAGAAGCTACTGTTAAAACTCTACAGCCTGCAGGAATTGGTTTCCATTGCACGTTAATTATGTTGCTTATCCATATGGGATAACTGTCTTCAAATTAATTTTGAAAACCGAAATTTTGTTCTTTATACTGAGTGAAAAACATTTTCAAACAAATTTTCTGAATGACGAAGGTGTACCTTGACTTTTCTATTCCCGTTTTGATATCCTTATCCGTTATGTTGCCCGTAATTGAAACTAAATGTCCTATATCAGTGAAGGAAGTAACCTTTTTGAAAGTTCTCCTGTTGTTAGTGACTGGCGATGGTCCTTGTTGTCAGTTGGTTCTCCTCATCACCTCCATATTCTGTTTGTTCAATTGAAACCCTATGTTCTCTTGTTCTTGTTAATTTTCGCGTGTGAATTTTCGAAGTTGTGCGACATCAAACGTAAATTACCTGAGAAGTCAAAATCTCATGAACCTTCCTACCAGTCCAACGTATTCCTGACTTCTCTCCCCACACTCTGACGCGAAAAGCAGTCTGCCATAATTAGGAATATCATAGGTGATGGTAGTAGGTAGCTTTTTTCTTGCTCTCATGTTCACTTCATACACCCCATTGAGGTTTCCTCTGTGAATCACCTGATATGTGACATTGTCATATAACTGTTAAATTACGTTGATAAAGATTTAGTGCATTTCATGGCATTGATGTAGTCTCCAAATTACCTCGTGGTCATCGCAGTGCAAAGCGTTATCAAAGTCAACGAAATTGAGGTAGACATCTGACTGCAACTCTATGCTCTGTGACGTAACATAGTTTGCAGCAGTAAGCAGAGGTTAACTTAACTTGATACTGTTTCATTTTCACTTCATCTCTACTGAAACGTGTAAACTATATTAAGTTACTCAAATATATATATATATATATATATCATTAGGCTTGGACGAAAACGTGTGCAAAAATGTACTGCATTTATTGCTGTAATGTTTATCTGAGTACCGGATACATAGATTTACAATAAAATTTAAATTACTGAATAAAGTTCTATTTATGCTATAAAGAAGAAAATCCTAGCCACGATAAATGAATTATCTAACGGTCATTTATTTGAACCCAACAAATATTTCCTGTGAATTCATTCCAAAGCATAATTAGTTTGACTTAAATACTATCAGCCTTACATTTTGATATTTCTGACAGAAATAGACCAGCAGCAATATGGTGAATACTTCAACAACCCTATTCTTTAACTTTTGCAAATATCAAAATAAACTGATCACGAAGACTCCGTTTTTCTTTCCAAATGGTTATCAATATTGAACGACATTCACTGGAATAAACGATATTTGCATCTTTTGAATAGTGTGACATTTTAAATAGTTACTTTGAATGGCTGAATAGTCAGCGAGCTTGCTGTGTAACCGAAAGGATCTGAAACCAACCTCCGGTAGGGTTGTAGGGTGCATCGTAGAATTCAGGGTTTTATATATTCCTTTTTATCAAAGCCTTTAAGTTCAAGGTAGAGTCGTTAGGTCCCTCTTCGACATATTCTGACTCATCATCATTTATCAATGTCGATGGTTGTTTCCTAAGGTGGTTTTTTCATTCAAGAGGAAAATAGTTGTTACATATGGTTGCATTAAAACAGCATCATTCAAAATAATTAACATACATCAGCCAGTAGCTTTCATGATGGAAAATGTAAAAGATATTGATTAGCCTGAAAGAATAAATTACACTTGTTCAAGGGAAATGAATTCACAAGTTGAATTAGTCACTTGAAATTAAAACAGGATGACTTACATCTCATTACAGTGACTACTTCATTTCGTTTCCTTACAAAACACAAAAACTGACGTTTCTTTTATATATCCTTATTTCCATTGACTAAGCCGTAGGTATTAAGCCAAACTGATTGCAAACATGAATGAATCGGTAGTTAAATTTTCCATTTTTTTTCTGTCAGTTGTAATTAAATAATAAACAGGAAAGTGAATACATGAAACAGGTTTATACCTGTATTTTGTAAATTAAAGTTCATTTTTCAATGTTTGATTTTTAGGCAAAAGAAAAAGGAAAACTGAATTTTTATCCCCTGACAAATGTGAACACTTTAATTATTGCTTACTCAGTATTTTAAAAATTGACTGTCATTCATTCTTTTCATAATAATTTATATTATTATTCATTATAATTGACTAAATGAATTAATTTTTAATAAATACTAATAAATAAATGCTAGTTTTTCTAAATAAGTGCCTAAGAGTTATGTATCTGCAATTTTGGTTCCGACAGTGTATGCATGTCACTGACTAATTAATTGTGTGTGTCTACCTTTTTTGTTATCGTACACGTTTTCATTCAATGGAGAGTGATTCATTTATTTGTCATTTCGGATATGAAATCACATAAGTTTCAGTGAATGCCTTCAGAGACACTTGGGCCAACATGTACTTCGCCCAGTAGGGTGCAGCAGGTAGGGTGTGAGGACAAATACTCGCCGAAGACATTGACTAGTGGTTGCGCTATATCGTGAATTGTCAGAAGTTGGAATTCATGGGCCATTGAATTAGGTCCCAGTGGCTTAATGGTCTACGAGCTCGACTTGTAACCAGAAGGTTCTGGGTTCGGAACCTGGCGGTGGGTGCGTACTGATGAAAAGTCCCAAACTATGATGAAACAGCAGTCCAGTACTCCCAGGTTTTCCAATGGTTCTCTAACCAGTGTCAGCTCATGATTAAATCCTTTATTCAATCAACCGAATCCCTACAAACCAATACTTGAATATTAATTTTATTCAAGATCATAATAAAAGTTACATACAGAATGAAATTCTCATCGTTTTGATATATATTGCATCAATTCGGCTATTTTTGTACATATATAGATACATAATATTTACCAAAAATTTTTGATTGGACACTAGTTAGTAACAAGTTTAATATGTCTAGTCCTATCGTCGGTGCAGACTGAATTCTATCAGTCAAACTCGCCATCACGGTGTACTGTAAATTGTTAGTATTAGATGGTTAGAGGCAATCGGCAGGAAGCCTTGGACTTTGGTTTCCTGTGGGATGCAGATAGGCCTAGCTGATGAGTGCCAGCCAGCACGAAATTAAGACCCAAGCCTTTCTGCCAATTGCTTCCAACCGTCTAATACCTACAATTCACCAAATAATAAAAACATAAAAACTGAAACTTAGTGAAACATAATAAATTACGCATAAAAAATCTAATGAATAATACATGTAATAACAATCTTTGATGATAATTTGGAGTTGATTTACTGATTTGGAAAATTTAAAATCTCCCTCTTGACATTCATATCTCCACATAAAACCCATGCTAAAGATGGGATCGTAGAATTAAATATGCATATAATATATATATATATATATATATATATATATATATATATATGAAAGAGGAGAATTGTAGCTCAGGTGGATATTCAAATATTAGACAGAGGAAACAACAAGAATGCTAGAGAATTTTTAGAAGCTTGGCATTCCAGTGAATCATCAATCAGTACACACATAGAAATAGACAAAATTTATCAACCGATAAGAAAGAAACCTCACACACAAAGGGTCAAAGTTCATGTCGAAGAAACGATCAGTTCCAATACAAGTAGTCTAGAGGATGTGAAAACACTCAAAAACAACCAATCACGTCCAAGGTCACCAGGAGAGATGAATAATAAACTCATGGAGAATTCTGAAAGCTCACTTCAGTTCGAATTGAAGTATGCGCAGAAGATGCGCCTAGTAGGGCGATGAAAGCTTCACAAATTAACTATCCAGTTCAGAGAACACAACCACATCAAAATACGCACATATATATATAATAGCTGTATGAGCATAAACTCCTATGAAGTATTCTTTACTTTAACCTGAAGAGGTAAAGGGAAAAGTCGTGAATATGTACAGGAAATGTTTGGTATCAGACAAGATAACTATAGCCGAAATTACCTAAGAGAATCGAAGTGTCTGTTGATAATAATGTCAGTCAGTTGAGTCAGAGTCACACCACGAACCCTACTTAAAATCCTCAGTGTTCTATGTAATATGACATAATCCTTTTTGAAAAGTTCAGGGAAGATTAATAGTGAACAATAAACAAGAATGGGCAGAATGAATTAATAAGTTGTAAGAGGAGAGGTTGAGTTATGCTAGCAGAAAGTCTCACCTGCTTCATGGAATCAGTCAAACGAGCAATTTTCTTAGAAACCAATAGGATACGAGATGAATAACAGACATTCGAAGAGGAACTGATACCGAGAAGAGAGATATTTGATTTACTGCTTATCACAGTGAAGTCAGCATTATAGTGGTAATGGGACTGAATCATTCCAACGCAAGTCTTCTTCACACCTGAAACAAAAATCAACAAACAGTATGACATTAAATGGATTTAGCTTAAGATTAACTTGGGTGAGACCATTTGTTTACTTCAGATTAGAATCTATTCATACAACAACAAACCAAAGCAGAAACTACTCGGACAGAAATGGTTGGATCATCGACATATTTATTGAAGTTAGCTTTGGAACAGTGTGAAAAGTCATGCAAAAAGAAAGAAAAAACTAGCAGACAGAGTAACAGCACTTAAAGTGCTTCTACTGCATTTGTAAGCAAAAACTACTTCGGGTCACTAATAGATCTTAAAGAACGTTTATGATCAAGCAACAAAAGTTTTTTCATCGTTTTCAAAAATGGAGGTGTGATGGCGATTGCCTAAAACTTTAAACCTGATCCAAAAGACGATTTTGGTACAGGTATCACCTTTATTGCTTTCTCAGCGACAGGTACTGTATCCTCAACAAATGATTTACCAAGGGTTTGTGTAAGGTGACTACACAAAATATCAGGACACTTTTCAGGTAAAGTGGCGAAGTGTTTCAAAAGCATGGTTCTCCTCTCGGATTACAAAGTAATGTTATTAATGATGATGATAAATTCAACTTCACACGAAGTAAATACTGGAATTTGTAATTCCTTGGCATCAATAATAGTTTACATCCATTGTCGACAAGTGAAACGAGAGCTCATTTCCCTTTCACTCCATTCTCTTTTATTTTTCTTACCTGGTTCCAAAGTTGTCTATATACATTTATTTCCTTCTCACATGATCTCCCTTATGTCACACGTGGATTTCTATGGAGGTTACATTCAAGGTCTTCAATGTGGTTGTGTTCTCTCAACTGGATAGTTAATTTGCGAAGCTTTCATCACCCTACTAGGCAACATCTTCAGCCCATACTTTCATATGTGAAAGCATGCCTTCAGATTTCTCCACGAGTTTATTAATCATCTCTCCTGGCGGGTGATCCTAAACGTGATTGGATGTTTTTGTGTATTTTCATAACCTTTAGACTACTTGTATTGGAACTGATCGTTTCCTTGAATTGAACATCAACCCTATGTATGTGAAGTTTCTTTCACAAGAGAAGAGGAATTCGAGAACAAAATAACATTTCTGGACGTCTTAGTCAAGCGGACAACCACAGAGGAGTTAGAAAATCAAGTTTATAGGAAATCAACTCACACAAACCAAATCCTGAATTACAACACCAACAACCCAATAACACACAAAAAGAAATTGCATGTAAACACTATTCAAGAGAGCAAGGACTCATTACAGCACTCCCATCTTAAGGAAAATTGAAGAAAAGTATCTCATGGACGTCTTCCAAAAGAATGGATATCCACAGAATTTCATCAAAAAACATATACCTACAAGCCAACCTACCAAATCTAAGGCCACCAAGCAAAGCAAAACTGCAAATCGCCCCACTATATACAAAGTATATCTAAGAAATCACTACAAGACTCTTCAAACCTTCAGGAATTGACGTCGTACAAAAACCAACAAAGTCGCTGCACTCAACTCTGTGTCAACCAAAAGAATCAACAGCGAAAGAAGATAAAACCAACATCATCTACAAAATAAACTGTAACAACTGCGAAAAACACTACATCGGCCAAAGTGGACGTCCCCTTCGTTTTCGAATCCACGAACATAAGCTAGCCGTCAAAAGACATGATATCCACTCCCTCCCTCATATCACTGCACGCAGACAACCACGGACATCAGTTCGACTGGGACAACCAGCGTTCAAATATTAGACAGAGGAAACAACAAGAATGCTAGAGAATTTTTAGAAGCTTGGCATTCCAGTGAATCATCAATCAGTACACACATAGAAATAGACAAAATTTATCAACCGATAAGAAAGAAACCTCACACACAAAGGGTCAAAGTTCATGTCGAAGAAACGATCAGTTCCAATACAAGTAGTCTAGAGGATGTGAAAACACTCAAAAACAACCAATCACGTCCAAGGTCACCAGGAGAGATGAATAATAAACTCATGGAGAATTCTGAAAGCTCACTTCAGTTCGAATTGAAGTATGCGCAGAAGATGCGCCTAGTAGGGCGATGAAAGCTTCACAAATTAACTATCCAGTTCAGAGAACACAACCAGATCAAAAAAGATACCTCCGTTATTGATAAGATTTTATTTTCGTAAATCGCACAGTGTTGAACAGGAATATTAACCGATGACGTTTCCAGCACAAACTATTCCTCATAGCATATGAAATAGCCTACAATCCTTTTTTCTTTCATTTATAGAAATGTGTTGAATCTATTAGATATCGGAATAAAAATCAGTATGAGATGATATACATTCAGAAAAAATAATACGAGTACTATTCATTAATTACAATTAGATGGGAAATAAAACGAGTGTTTTTACAGTCATATTAAGTTACTTGTTAGAATGATTATGAGCAATAGATTGTGCTCGAAACGTCATGAGTTAATATTACTGTAGAAAACTGTGTGATTTACGAAAATAAAATCTTATCCATAATGGAGTCATGCTCTACCACAGTGCCTAAGTTTCATACTTATATCAATGCTTCAACGATGTCTGGGTACATAATTAGAATTTAATCGGTGGATGATGGCTATCAGTGGAATTCAGGATGCGCATTTCATCCTATTTGAGATTCAGTAGGGAACGCAGGTACATCTGGATGACGAGTCACAAATAGGACGAAATGCGCACTGTCCTGGATTACTTTGCTAGTCACCATCCACCAGTTAAATCCATATTACTGGACTGTTCAAGTTTGAGTTCATTCATGAACCTATGGGTTTCAGTGCATCAGTGACTCGCCTTCTACCATCAACTGATTATATCAGCAATTGATAAATGCAAATCTTTAAATACAGACTAACTTACGAAAACTTCCAGTTACTAAATACAATAAAGTAATTTGTATAAAGATGAAATTAAGTTTGAAGAGAATGCCAGCGTTATACCACTGCAAATTGCAAATATTGTAAAAATACTGCCACCCAACAGTAATTAATAGCAAAGTCATTTGTAACAAATTCTGTTAACAGTAATAAGACTCAGGACCCTGACTACTACAAAATCCCAACAATAGACAAATTTTCATCTAGTTTCATCTCCATAATCAATTTGTATATTTATAGATTGTTTCTTGTAAAGCTACCAGGTCAGTGTAATAGTCAACTTTCCGGTAAATCCTAATATCATATTCTTTAGTCCTTATTATCAGTATATATCTTTAGAAGTAATTTTTTTTATAACAGCTTGATTCCACACCGTATTTTGTGGTACAAATATGGAGTTTTCAGCATACGATATCGGTAGCCCATATTTTGCAGGCCCACCATAGATAGCAGATGTGCATCGGCAGGGGATCGAATCCCGGACCATGTGCATGGTCAGCGAGAGTCCTAACCACTATGCCACCGACGCAACTAGTGTTAGATTTGGCAGCTGAACGGTCTTAGTGCTGTCCACCTGCCGTTTATAGATACTCAACTCAATCACCAGCCATAATCTATCTCTGCAAAGGTATCACTGTAATTCATTTAGAGAGTAGATATTCACTTACCGTGTACGTTATCTAAAATTTATTGATTTAAAGACATTTTAAATATAGTACAAGTGAAAATATTCAACCATCATTAAAATGATCTCATAAAATTTAAGAGAATTTGAATCACTTCGCTTCATTTTAACAATTCCTTACTGAAATTTACTAGAAATGAACACCTCACCCATTGAATATTGAATAATGAACGGTTTAATAATAAATTGCAAGGCAGCCTGCTTAAATCTTGGTCTACTAAAATTTCCATCCTACATATTGCATCTATTTCCTCGGATTTATTTGATTTTATTCATTCATCGTGTTGCTTACTCTCGTGGGTATTTAAAACGTTTCGAAACGCCTGGTTTACTAGTTTCTAATAAACTTAAGAAAAAGCTTCATGGTGGATGACAACACGCTTTAAAGCGTACTTCAATATATTTGCTGACTGTTCCTGTGACTATGCGCACAAACTGCAGATCTCTACCGAACGGGATTAATTACTTGCATTCTCTATTATGCTCTATTATACTTTAGTAAATAAACAATTTCCTCCATCCACCCTTATATACCTTCAAGTTTTACTTTTATTATTTCTATCATATTTATGGTCCTGTCGCTCCTTAGTTTTACCCTAATAATTGCAAAAATCAACTTATCTCTGTGAATGCTGCAATCGTTGTTTTTCCCCTCACCATATCATATAAAGAGAACATTATATTTAATAATTTCAAACATGGTAGGATTTCTATACCGCATCGACAATATTGCGTGAAACAAGCCCACCGCAATTTTCACTTGTATTATTATTATTACCTTAGCTGCTATCATTATTATTTCCATTATATATGCTGCATGTTTGTGACATTACCCTTATTGTAAATTTAGAAAATTTTCTGTGTGATCAATTTTTACTTATAATTTGAGGAAATTAGATGCAATATTGTAAATAATGCTGAAAATTCTATTCTGTATCACAAGTACGGTCTTTGGAATAAAGTAAATCATTATTATTATTATCCATCAGACACATGGATATGAATTCCAAGCCAGCATATTTTAAAATCGTAGGAATAGTTAATATGAAAATATTAAAAGAGGAAATAAGTTTCGAGACCATAAATGTTACGAACTTCCTGGAGTAATCTTAGCGCCGAGTCAGACTGATTCATTATAAATTATTTAAATTAATCCAATCGTGCTTAAGAAAAAAATCAAAACAAGATCTGTTTTCTGAACGTCTCGTTATGTAAGCCCCCACGGCTTTTTCAGCAGAATTTTTCGAATTTTATTATTCATCAAAATATATATGGTCTCAAAACTATTTTTACATAAATTAAAGTCAGTTTGCTTGAAGGTCACTTGCCAATAGACATTTTACCAATAGAAATATGTAAGCAGTCATCACATATATTTGTAATGAATGATGTTAAATTCTTATTGTGTATATTTTTTGTATGAGCTTATGTTATTTGTCACATCGAAAACACGTCAATTCACGTGTGATAAACATGACAGTACAATTTTTAAGGGTCATGCAGGTTCATTGAGGTTTTCGTTGCTTTCTCATCTGTCTTGCTTCATTAGAGTTTGCCATATAGGCGATAAGTCCATCGCTTCTTTCCTATTTACTGCATTTGGCATGGTTAAAATGTGCAAGGCGTCAGCGCTCAACCTTTCTTTATGTGAATGAAATCCTCTTCGAAGAATTTTGACATTGTCGAAATCAATCTTAATTTTCCTGTCTATCGCATGTATTGATATATATGATCTTCTTTCTGGACATTTTAATCCTATTTAAATTCTAAATGGACGTTTCGTCCATATTCTATGTTCATTAACTCTGACCTTCACCCGTCTACCGCTCTCTCCTTTAAAGCAAATGTCTATCGAAAAGTGCTCGTCAAATAAACTGACTTCAGTTCATGTAAAAAATTTTTTGACTTTATAATTTGATGATTAATAAAATTCGAAAAATTCTGCTAAAGAAGCCGTGGGAGCCTACATAACGAGACGTTCAGAAAACAGATCTTGTTTTGATTTTTTTCTTTAACACGATTGGATTAATTTAAATAATTTATAATATTCAAGGAGATATTCATTGAGATACCTGACTCAGTGATCAAGTTAATTATTTTTGAGTGAGAATAAAAGCTGTTGTCGAAAGGTGTTTTCGTGCACAGTTTAGCAAACCTCGAAGTAGATATTCTGTCTATGTTAAAATGTTGATAAATACATTTAAAACAGTCACACGTAACATATTATATGATAACCGCAATTACCATCTAGGCCAATGATAAAAAATAAACTATCCGATAAAATTCAAGTTGAAATTTACCGCTTCCACTGAAATGTGAGTGTGGCAAGTTTGAATTCCGATAGGATATATCTTGACCCTCCAAATTCTGAAATATTTAGCTAATTTCATATTTCCACCAGATATTTTGTTTTTTCAATTGATTATGAAGCTTTGAACTACTAAGCTTTAAATAAAGTAAACCAAAGCAATGCATTCTGACGAATTCGATATAAGAATTAATGCTTTCAAGTAAAATGTTTTATACATTTCAAACAATTTACTTGTGCCTAAAAATATTTTTATTCAGTTAATTTTATTTTATTTCACTTTGAATTTCGCGCATAAAATATTGCTCAATATTACTCCTAACATCGGTGCAGGTCCCTGGTTGCTTTTATTTTTCACTAGAGAGACTAAATTTGCGTCGGTGGCGCAGCGGTTAGGATACTCGCCGACCATGCATATGCTCTGGGTTCGATTACCAGCTGATGCACTCCTTTACCTCGCTTAAGCGGAAATAAAGGTGGTAAAGAGGAAAGGTTGGGCATGAGGCTAGCAACTCCATCCTGTAAAAGTAATAAACACTGCCACAGAAACTTCAAGCTTCTAGCTTGAGGGACTATGTTACACTGGGGACGTGAAGGAAAAAAATAGAGAGACTAAATATTCTCTGAAATTTCTATCTTCATGCTGGTAAGACCACTAGAATTCCACATCGTCTGGATGAGGGGAACGTAACTTTCTATGGAAGTTTATTACAAGATGTCTTATCCTCCTAATTAAAATTCATTCAGACAAATTACTCATCGAATAATATAAATTGTGATTGAACAATTTTATTTCGATTTAGAAATCGAAGTCAGATATTCCACCAAATGAAATCAACCTAACATTGTATTTTTCTGTAAATAACTCTGTCTGATATACGAAATAAACACTATTATGGTGACCATGATATCATTAGAAAAATGTATTTTTGTGTACAGTACCCTTCAGCATCACCAAAGCTTAATCTGCTTTCATTTACAATCTTAAGACTTTCACATTTGCCTCCAATGTAATCAGCCATCGTAGAGAAATGCAGAAGGTTGAAGGTGAAGCAGGCAGTAACTTATCGAAGGAGATATTGCGAAGTGATCGCGCTATGGCATGAATTGACGGAATTTAGAATTTATGGACTGGCCATTGGATCAGATTCCAATGCCTTAATGGTCTACGTGCTAGCTCGCCAAGGTGCTACGTCGGAATCCTGTCGGTGGGTGCGTATCTCTGAAGATTTCCAAACTAGGGCGATGAAGCAGTTGGCTGTCCAGTAATCCCTGCAGGTTTCTCAATGATTCTCTAACCAATTTCAGCCCATGACTAAACCCTTCAATCAATCAAACACAATCCTTACAAAACTTATACTTGAAAATGCAGAAAAACTGATACATGTTGCATAAGTTGTGGCTCTTGTGATCTCAGTGGCCTAGCGGACGACGCTTTAGAGTTTGAAATAGTGGGTTCTGCGTTCAACATTGTAAATCACTCGCACAAGATACACTTAAATGATGACTTCTAAAGTAGAGCTAATTGAGCACCCTCGATTTCCTTGTTAGTCATCATCAACCAAAAACAAAACATCTTTTGCACTTAACACCAACAGAAAATAAGAATTTATATTCAGAGAATTTTACGATATAAAACAAAATATGAAGTAAATCTTATCATATCTGGAGAAATAGAGTACAAGTTACTCACCATAGGCATTTAAAAACACAATGACGATCACACAAATGAACAACACTGGTCTTCTTTGTTTGAACGTTTGCGGAGAAAACTCAAAACAATTTGAAAAGTCGACTATTTATATACACTTTTTACTGGCTGATAGCACGTGATGAAAGCAAACTCTCATACCTTTTTCTTTCATGAAAAGAGTGGGGGGGGCAGGACACTCCGAAACGAAAATAATTGATGCTTCGATTGTCATTTCAAAACTTCACCACTCGAAATTCTTCTTATTTCAATGTCGGTATCCTTTGATTGCTATTCGTCATTGAATCATATGGGGTATTCAACACATATCAATCAAATGAACGTGTCGTGAGAAACTTTGTTATTCATTTTAGCGAAAATATGTCGAATATTGAAGAAAGAAAAATAAAAGCTCGATACATCATGTATATACATGAATTAGTTTTGGCAAAGTTAATTCATTTTCATTTCAGAGAAATATTAGACAGTAAAAATGCTTGAATTATCAAAACCAAAAATGATATGTCTATGAGAACAATATTCCGTGTATAGGTAGATAAATGGAGACCATGAGTTCTGGGATTGAGTCTAAGTGAGAATGTCACTCACTCAACGGATGCAGGTACATCCACTAGCTGATGAGGTCTGCATGGGATGAAAAGCGTATCCCACTACTACTCATCATCTAGTAAAATAAAGCTCATATTAATTTGAAAGCTGTTCTAAACATTTAAAAGGCGGAGTTACATGTGAATTCCTGTGATGTTTACACAAGACCAAATTTTGACACAGTTAGGCACAGTTAGGTGAGAAATATAACAACAGAATCGTTGGAAGATTTTAATTCGTCTACTATTTAATCACAACCGTAATATCAGGAAAAATATTATCCTGAGTTTTGAAATTACTTACTGAAAAGATTTTGTTCCAGGCTTCATCGGTTTTTTTTCTATCCGACAATGGTGATGAGTACTGTTCTCATTCCTTTGCACAACGGGTGAAAGGTATGGCTTCAAGCTTCAGCTGCTTAGTTTCATAAGCGCTGGTGTTATATTGATTTTCAGCTATTGTCAACACATACAAAGGGGAACTTTCTGTGAATTTTTTGCAACTAATGTTCAGCCAAGTTATAAAACGTAAAGAAAACAGCAACAATATAATCATCGAGAGAATCCCTATCGTCTTCTGTTTCAACAGGAAAATAAAGTGTTTTTATTGGCAAGATTAACTCAAGCCTTCATTAGCTTCCTTTTAGACTGATGACTATAGTGACTATTTTTCTCATCACTTAGGGATGCCACTGGAATATAGGACTCACAATTTCAGGTTTGAAATTTCAGAAGCAGCGGTATTGGTTTTACTGAGTGACCACGCTAGCCTCACAACCAGGTGTATCCCTTTACCGCGCTTACTGCCGGTTAAGCAAGGTTTGGGAGTGAGTCTGTCGGAAAAGAAAACCAGAACTCGTTCCTGACTAATGAGCCTTCCACAAATCAGCCACAGATGGACACAGAGGTAAGGAGAAAATGCTTTGTAAACAAAACAGAGTGATTCGTGTTGTTTAAAAAATACTAACTTACCCAACACTTATGTAAGAAAAAACTACACACCCGTCCAAGAGCAAAGTAATCATTTCCATATAAATGATTATAAAATACAAAAATTAATTACCATAACATTATTGAGTTACTATAAAGACTTAGACAACAAAGTAACATCACAGAAGGTTCATATAAATCTCTAAAGCCTACTGATATGGTTAAACCAAGATTATCTGGACTACCAAAAGTGCATAGAATTGGTTTGCCACTTCGACCGGTGTGTCGGACATGTGTAATTCCCCATATCACGCAACAGCAAAATGGTTAGTGAAGCTCATGAAACCCCTGCATAATGATTTGGGAAAACATAGCAAAAACGGTAGTTTTGAATCTATTGAAAACATAAGCGATCTTAATGTGAATGACACGTTTTGTGCTATCTTTTGATGTATCCTTCTTCTCCATCAATGTACCGTTGATAGAGACAGTGGATTTTATATGTGATGAGATTACTACGCCAAACATAGACATCGGCATTTCTGTATCCTCCTTGAAGGAACTTATTTTACTTTGCACAATGAATGTTCATTTCTTATTCAAAAGGGAATATTACAGAAAAACTGATGGTGTAGCCATGGGTTCCCCGTTAGGTCAATCCTAGCTGATTTCTTCCTCTCTAGGTTAAAGAGTGGACCACTGGAAGGAGTAATTAACGACTTGGATTTCTACTGTCGACATGTGGATGATGCATTTTTGGTTAGGAGAAACGAGAATGATGAAATGAACATCCTCGGAAAGTTTAATGATGAACATTCAGCAGTAAACGTCACCATTGAGAAAAAAAGTATTGATAGTATCTAATTTCTAGACATCTTCGTGGTAAGGAAAGAAGATTGCACACTAGAAAGAAGTGTGTAAAGGGAACCTACAACAACAGGTTAGTACAATCATTTTTTGAGTTTTGCACCTTTGAAATATAAACGGAACCTGATAAAGTGTCTGGTTCATAGGGCTAAGTTAATCTGTTCAGACGACTGCCTCAATGAAGAGCTTGAGATCATCAGAGAACAACTGGGTGCGAATCGTTGCCCACATAAGTTTATTGAGAAAAATATGAGTTCAGTACCTAGGAGAGTTAGTACGGCAACACCTACGAAGAGAAACCATTGCTCCTAAAACTATACATCCTCGGTGACGATATCGGCAAAATAATAACACATCGCCTGAAAAATGCAGCTAAAAGAGCTTATTATGCAACGGAAATTTTGTAATTGTTCATCGACTGACCCTTCAGTGCAAATCTTCCCGATCCTCGAGGAAAAAGAGTATATCAGGTTCTTATCTCTGCCTAGAGACACACAAATTTTAAAGTTATTAAAAGCTCTCCGTTCCATGTAGGCTTTTTGTAGATAGGTCTTCTTAGCGAGTTGTCAGCATTCCTCCGTAATTGACCGTCAAGGAAATAAAAAAGTGAGTTAGACTCAACTTCCAGGATGAAGTCGACTTTTGGGTGGGTGTTATTGAAGATTTGAAGTAGGTTTTTCAGGTTACATTTCTCATAACAAATAATGAAATTATCATCGATGTATCTCTTGTAGACATGGAAGTCGTCGATAGTTGATGATAAGGAGTTGTTTTCTACGCTAGACACAAAGTAGTTGGCGAGTAGGGATCCTGGGGAAGAACCCATTGCTACACCATCTACTTGACTGTATATTTCATTGTTGAAACTAAAGTATACTTTGAAGGTGCATCGTAGTGACAATTCTCTTAGGTAATGAATAGGTAAACCGATGTCCGTGCTACTGGATTTGATGTAGTCAGAAAGGTTTAATGGTGATAATACTAGTTAGAGAAAGAAAAAATCAAATGAGCCAAAAATTAAGCAGCTAAAAGGAACTAGATTCACTATAAAAGAAGAAATTGAATTAGCTTCCACTGAGCATTTAGTGTGATGAACACAGCAAGCACGTCTTCAGTACACAAAAGTGGAGAACCTACTGTGTTTGGTAGATTTTTGTCCACAAATTTCGTGAGTGTTAATGTGCTCATAGCACTGTGTCAGACGATTGCTAACATTCAATTAAAATCACAGCAGTGATTTGTCCACGCATTTTTGCTGACTACATATCATATCTGAATTACTTTATTAAGCTATCGACTGAAAAGCACTAATTAGTTTGCCAATGTTTGATTGATTGCAGCCCGGATGTAATGAAGGATGAGTTTTACTACCAACTGAGCGATCTCTTGAAACAGGCGGGTCGGAGGGATATCGTAGTGCTGGCTGGGGACTTGAATGCACAGGTGGGGAGTCTAAGCTCAGAGGAGAATCGTCTAGGTGGTCAGTGGGGACTACATGGTCGCAGGTCAGATAATGGGGACCGTCTTCTGCAGCTTTGCGCGGATCACAACCTATTTCTAGCTAGCACCAACTTCCGGCACAGCCATCGCCGTAGCGCTACCTGGCGTCCTCCCTCTGCGAAGCAAGCTTGGACTCAGATTGATCATATCGCGGTCAGTTTCCGGTGGCGAGGATGCATACAAGACTGTCGCTCCTTCTGGAGCACATGCCTGGACTCCGATCATGCGTTAGTGTGTGCCAAGTTCGTCTTGCGATTTGGTGGGGTTCGTAAAAGCCGTCGTCTAAGCGTTGATGTGAGCAAACTAGTAGCACCTGCTACTTCTTTGAAATATCAGAATGAGTTAAAAACAATGCTTGCCAGCAACCCCCCAAGTAGTATAGATGAACATTGGCTTCATGTGCAAGGTGCCATGCAAAAGGCGAGTGTAGCCGCTTGCGGCTTGAAAGAATGCTCCGCTAACAACCACTGGGTTTCTGCGAGTTCCTTGCAACTCATGGATGAACGCCGGTCCATTCCGGCTGGCAGCGAATACAACAATCAGCGAAAGGCGCTCACGCGCAAGATTAGACAGTGTTTACGTAAGGACCGCGAAGCCTGGTGGTCAGAACGTGCGTGTGAGATGGAGTCAGCTGCTGCATCTGGCAACAGTCGGAAGCTGTTCCAACTCATACGAGCCACCGGCAGCAAGAAACAAGGTGTCAGCGAGACGGTCTGTGAGGCAGATGGCACTCCAATTACCAGCCTGAAAAGACGCCTGGAACGCTGGGCAGAGCACTTCGGGAAGCAGTTCAGCTGGCCACCAGCTTCAGTGTCTACTATCATTAGCCCGAGTGCTCCTTGGTCGGTTAGTACCGACCCACCCACCGAAGCGGAGGTCCGTAAGGAACTCCAAGTTCTGAAACGCCATAAGGCGCCCGGCCCAGACAAATTACCCCCGGCTCTTTTTAAAGATGGTGGCGAGACTCTCACAATGGCTCTAACTGGGTTGTTCAGGAAGGTGTGGGAGACAGAGAGTGTACCATCAATGTGGAACGAAGCCATTATCGTCCCCATCTTTAAAAAGGGTCGACGTAATTCGTGTGACAATCATAGGGGTATCAGTCTGTTACCAGTCGCGTCTAAAATATTGGCTGCTGTCTTGCTTCGCAGACTGTGCAAAATACGTGAAGGATTGATTCGCGAAGAGCAGGCTGGGTTTCGTTCAGGTCGTGGATGCATTGATCATGTGTTCACCCTTCGTCAGTTGTTGGAACACCGCCACACGTATT